CTTATTTCGAGTTACGAACACATAATTTAATACATTTAACATTCGATGAAATATAATTAACAATCCAAACTAGTAAGTATTTAAGATTGTTATAAGATCAATATCATTATTTTTAAAACGTAATATAAGTTATCCAAATGATAATAAACATATAATTATATAATCTATGGTAACGTTTCTTCTTTGTTATTAACACAATGAAAAATATGTTGGATAATTCTGGAATTAGGCTACTTTGTCAAATCCAAGTTGTTTTGATTTTGAATGATGTCTCTCTAGATGTTTGATATTTTCTTGATCATATTATGCTTCATATCAAACTTGACATTTTTCTTGTTTCAGCAATAAGATCTCTTCTACATTATGTCATTTCATAGAACAATTTTCTCCATGAGGTTCCACTTGATTTTTTTTCTTGTTTCTACATAAGATATTTGAGAGATATCAGTTAATTGTTCGAATTTAAACAAAATCGACCAAAACACGCGTATTAAGATATTTTTTTAAAAACAAATTATTATAATTTATCTCTTCTTTAGGTGAAGCGCATGGTCTTTTCCCTCTTTAACGCTAATTGTTTGTATTGGATTTTAGGTCCTCGTACGAAATTGTAGATGCCTTACATAAAATTTTGGTGTGTCATATTTGAATAGTCGTAGAGCTTCATATATAAGTTTTGTCTTCTTAGAAGATGAGAAACGGGTCTGCCTGAGTTACTGTCTTTAGTGAGATAGCCACGATGATCTTTTGGACATGCTTAGCATCCATGCATAGATAATATTGCCGGGAAGATTTTTGGCAAGTTGATAAGGGAATTCCATCTTTCAAACTGTCTGACGCCTAAGACAGATTACCACAGAAGAGTAAATTGTTTAGAGAAGTTAGTGTAGATTATGTTTGAGACCACATATGAAGATCATGATCTCTCTCCAATATTCTCAAATGGATGAGAAGAGAAGATGTCTATAGTTCTTAGGGAGAGTGGGTCATAACTCATTTCTTAAATATTGCTTTCGTGAGGATACTTGTGAGGGAATATCTCATTGTTATCTTTTTCTATGAACTGTTATCTTCTTAATTTAATATTTTTTCTCTTTCATCTACTGCTCATCCTTTATTGTATTTATAGAGATAGAAAAATGATGCAGAAAATAATATACGTACAAGGAGACCATTCTTAAAAAAAAAAAATATCAAACCATAAAATCGATTTTTTTTTGTTTCTTAAAAAGGAAAAGTTAAAAAGTCTTAGTTTTTTTTATTAATTTATTAATGTCAAGACTACAAGCATAAACTCAAATCCACATATGTCACAAACTTTGATGTTTAAAGACAATAAATATTTTTTTAAAATATCATTAAAATTTTAATGTTCTAAAAATATCGCTGAAAGATTTTATATGAGCAAACGATCTTAAAATAAAAATTATAAAACAACAATCGAAACAAAATCATAAGACGACGAAGAGAACACAACATTAAAATGCTTCAAAAACAAATAAAAAAGCCATTATCAGTAAGAACAAACTTTACATACACAAAAATCATTATCACATAGTCCAATTGTGCATCTCACAAATGCACATAAAATTTTGAAAATATTTATATTTTTAGCAAATTAAGAGGTACTAAACCCTAATATGCGAATTTAAACCTTCACAAATACATATAAAATATCGAAAACAATACATAGATCATGAACCCTAGAATCCTAGCATTAGAGCCTAAATCCAAATAAAAAAATTTTACCCTAAGTTTAGATACATTGTGTTAGTTATGGTCGGTTTAATTCGGTTTGTCGGTTCTTTGATGAATTTGTTGAGTTGGAAAATTCAACTGAAATTAAGTGCATGTAACAAAATCAAATTATGGTTTGGTTTAGTTTGGTTATGGCAGAATTTAGTTTGTATATATTGTTGTACATTAAAATCCTATGTGTCACAAATAAACAAACTTCTTATTTATCTTTTAAGATTTTTTATTTCCGCATTTTAGCAATTATTTAATACTAAGCTTCATGGTTGTCGAGTTTCTTTCATTCTCTTCTCCATAAACATCACGGATGAAAGTAACTTTGACCAGTACATGATTATAACACATGACTATGTTATAAAATTATAGAAAAAGAGTAGATTATTAACTCAAACTCTAAACCAACATCATTTTTATGATCTAAGTGGTTACTGATTTTTCTCTATGAAGAAGCAAACAATAGAAGACACAACACGAATACCATAACAAAATAAATATATAACATATGCATGAATCTTGGTCTAATGAAAAAAAATTCTAATAATAGGTGATTTATTCTTGATTACAAAATGATTAGAATTAACTCTCATAAATCAACTTAATGTTACAAAACTATAACAATGCAGTATAACGTAATATTTCAATTAGTCTATATATAAATATGCCAGTCTTAATTATATAAAAATAAAAATTATAACCTGAACAACTTCAGATGAATGAGATAATGGCTTGAAGAGACTAAAAAAGACCTCAGGACATTCTTCTTCATGACTTCATCGTCAATCTTCTTCATACATTTGATTCTTCTTTAATGTTATTCTTCTTTAGCCTCTTCTTCCTTAACTCTATAGACAAATACCTTACTTTGAAATAAAATCTGGAGCAACCTTTCGTGCCACCTAAGATGTTAAACGCTCGTAAAGTTCTAGGTTTATAAATTATAGACCCAAAAAAAATACTAACTAATATACTGAGGATCCTTTACCAAAAGGAGATAAGTATAAAGAAAAATGTTTACTTAGTGGATTCTCAGACTTATCATGGTTGTTGAGAAAGAGATTATCCTGCTCTTTCTCACACCAATCTAAACTCAAGAAACAACGAAAACTCTTCTTTTTTCTCAAACAAATCGTTAGATTTTATACTCTTAAATGTGGTAA